TAAATACATACACACTTGATTTACTTTTTATTTTCAAGCGTAATGGTTGTTATATTAACCTATACCTACATTTTTATTAATATTATGGAAAATTTGTACACGTGTGGTAAATCCCCGACATACAGCCGCCTGACGCCTCTCTACCAATGGGATCACCCATTTTTTATAACAGAAAAATGGATTACTGATGAATTCTCAAGATAATTCATTGCTTACAAGTTAACAGCCAGTAAAATATTGCATTGATCTAAAACTTTTACGTTTTAAGGAACCATTTTGCTTAAGCCACCGATTTTGATAATCGTTATAGATTTTTGTTCCAAATAAATGTTTCTCTTTATTTACCTTTTCGTTTTATTTACTACCACCAATCGGTTTTACTCAAATAATAGTGTTAATTTACATTAGAAGTTTGCACTAAAAGTGTAAAAGTACCTTTATAAAATTAGAACTTTACCAAAGTAGTGTTAATTTACACTGAACAAAAGTGGGATTTTACCCAGGAAGTGTAGAAGTACACGAATTTAGGTAAATTAACACTTTTTAATACAGTGTAAAATTACTTTATCCTCAGTGCTATAGTGTTAAATCATACTTGCTTACTTGTGGAAAGTTACACTACAAATTAAGTCTAATTGTAGTGTTATAAAACAACACTATTTAGTGATGCTTAGAGTTGATTTTTTTTTTACTGTGTATTAGCTTCTTAAAATCACTTCTCTAGGATACCACACAAAGCGTGGATCTAGCTTTTATTCTGATGAATATTAATATATAATAAACTACCCAATAGCGCTGCAAAATAAAATAATATATTTTTTGTTTGAAAAAATAAATACAAATATTTGTAAAAAAAATTGCAAGTCAATGTTATTTATAAAATTTGTTTGATTAGATTATTCATATAATTACCTAATATTATTTTATCTTAAGTATCATTCCAAATTTTATATAAAATGGAAACATCCAAAGTAGGTGGCTACTTCAATATTTGTGCTTTAGCAAAAACTGTAAGTAATATAATAACTATAAATTTTCAAAATTTAATTTTTTATAAATATTACAGAACTATGAAAATTATTATTCTTCTCGCTTGCCTGGCAGTAGCTGTATCTGCTGATACCCAGGAGCAATGGAAAAATTTTAAAGTAAGGGCACTAAGTATTATTAAATTATTTATTAACTTTAAAATTATATTGTTATAGCAAACCCATCAGAAATCCTACCGTTCCCTCATTGAAGAACGTCTTCGTTACCAAATTTTCTCCGACAATTTGGAAAACATCGAAAAACACAATGCCAAATTCGAACAAGGATTGATCACCTACAAACAAGGAGTCAACCAGTTTGCTGACTGGACCGAAGAAGAATTCATCGCTTTCTTAAAACTCAACGGACCAGCTCAAAAAGCTAAATCTGTTGAAGTTTTTGAATCCATCCAAGATGCTCCGTTAACACAAGACTGGAGATCATCAGGTGCCGTAACTCCTATCAAGGACCAAGGAAGCTGTGTATCAAGCTGGAGTTTCAGTGCTGTAAGTTAATATATTTTTCCATGTAAACATTTCTTGTCTGTTTGAAGATTATTGCTTAGTATAATTGTTTTTTATAGACTGGAGCTTTGGAAGGTCAAAACAAAATGAAAATCGGTAGATTGGTCTCTTTGTCTGAACAAAATTTGATCGATTGCTCTGGTTCCTATGGAAACGAGGGTTGTAATGGGGGTTCGATGACTTCCGCCTTTGAATACGTCCAAGATCATGGTATCATGGCCGAAGCCAGATACAAATACGAAGAAGTCCAGAAGAAATGCAGATACGACGAAAGCCAAGTCGTAGTCAAGTCCTCCGGGTATGTTAACATTAAAGAAAATTCCGAAACCGACTTGATCAATGCTGTTGGAACTGTTGGTCCGATCTCTGTTGCCGTCCATGCCACCCCGAATCTTCAATTCTACCAATCTGGCCTTTTCAACGAGACTTTATGCCCTAAAGATGATTTGAACCTGGGTCTTTTGGCTGTGGGTTATGGAACTGATAACATCGTTCTCAAGGGCTCCTGGGGAGAATATTGGGGTGAAAATGGATTCGCTAGGTTCGTACGTGGCGACAACTTGTGCGGTATTGCCTCCATGGCAAGCTACCCAAAATTATAAATATTTGATATGATTTTAAAAATATGACGACTGCTTATGTAAAAAATATATAATTGAAAGTAAACATTGTTTTTTTTATTTAGAGTTTTATTTAACAATTTTTGCCATCGCTTGTTAAAAATTTTGCTATGACGACATCGGCCGTTTTTTTTAATTGTAGCTCATCTTTTTTTTGGAGATCCGAATATATTATAAAATTCTGAATTCGGCAATATGCACATACCTTTTGGGATGCTACTATTGGGTATTATTAATTTTAAAAGTTCGTGATTTAAAAAATATTTGGTATCACAGTCATTGGTTTGACAGTTAATGTCAAAATCGATTCGCCATGCCGTCCTTAATTTACTTATTTACAATAAGCGGCTGTTAGTGTTAAAGAAGAAGAAAAGGATTTTCTTTGGTGTTAAACAAAATTTATTGCCAGAAAAGTCTCGTAAGAACTAAAAAAATCATAAAAGTATTATAACGAATATGCAAAATATTATGCTGTTTAAAGTATAGCCAACCTATAAAATCAAAATTTTGGGTGGGATAAAGTATCTCATTAAAGCACTGAAAGCGGTGTTATAATGGAGTCATTATGAACGCAAAATAGATAAAAACATTATTTATATTCATGAAAATTATTTGGGATAAGTGATTTTCGAAAAAATCGGTTATAAACTTTTGTTAGATAAGATTAGATTAATTGGAAAAGAGTATTTTTAATGTCAATAACTTTAGGCTACTTATATTTTGTTTTTAAAATTGATAAAATCTCCCAAACAAAAAAAGTGGGCAAATCAATCTAATATTAATAAATAAATCATTTAAAAGTAATATTTATTTTAAGTACACATTTTTGTATAGTTAATTCATTATGCCTCTAATTAAATTAATGTTTCTATTTAAAATACCTTTATTTTTTATAATTTTTGACCAAATTGGACATTACTTTTTAACCATCCTGTATAAAATTTTATTAAAAAATTATCATTTTAGGGGTTTTTGGGTATGCCGATGCTTAATAATTTTTGATGTTTTTGAAGACCTTTTATTAATCAATCGTTTAATATTTAATAAATTGGTGCAACATGTATACATACCTAGACAATATGCATAGGTACCTATATAAACAATATTAAATGAAATTTAGAAATTACATTCTAAAGAAAAGCATAAGTAATTCTATAGTGAGTGGTCATACAGTAAGCTTTAGGCAGCACACTATATTCATCCACAAATGTTGCTTTAAAAAGTGCATTATTTTATTAACATTCTTTAAACTAGACAGTTACTGTAATAGATAAAAATAACGTACTTAATTCGATTAAACAAACGTACTTAATACGTTTAAACAAAGGTACTTAATACGTTTAAATAAACGTACTTAATACGTTTATACATGCCCATATAAAACGCAATCTGATTGGCCGAATACACATCATGTGATTGGGCCTGCCAATGGCAGGCTGCCATGCCATAGCTTCTCGCTAGGTCAGTTTTTAATTTGATTTTGCTATAAAAAGTGCATTTTTGTACGTGTTTTCTGCTCGTAAGATTCGTCCTGCTTTTGGTAAGTACTTTAAAGTAACTGTTTTAAAATATACACACCGTTAATATCACGCAGATTCATTGTTTTATTTCCTAATTTTCGGGAGAGTGTGATTTTGTTCTTATTATAATTTGTGCAGCGTCCTAGAATAATATTAATATGTTAATTTTAAAGACGTTTTCTACGTGTTTTCAATGGTTATTAAGTATTGTGGGGTAGGTAAATATTAACTCACACAAATTAACATTATAGTTAAATTAAAATTAAACTGATTTAGATTAAACACAATAGTCATAAATGCACAGATGTTAAGATTGTGGAAAGAGTCCATTATAATAATAATAAATGTTAGTGTTTTTCGAAAAATTAGTCTATTTTTTATCGTTTAACAATTTTTTTTTGTGTTTTAGAAGCAGCTAAATTTTCCAGCGAACGATAAAAATGATTCACCTAAAGACAACTGAAGATACCTCCAAAACCTTTCCTTCATTTGAAACAATCATTGTCTACAACCTTTAAACACCCTGTATTCATGTTGCAGTTAACGTTAAACGAACGTTTAATAAATACGTTGTAAAAACAAGTATTTGTGGAGTTTTATTTATTATAGAACTAATGTTAGAAAGGACATTAATATGAATTTAAATAAACGTTATAAATGATGCAATAACAATTCTTAATTTACGTTATTAATAGACGTATATTAAACGTTTTAAATGTAACATTTTGAAACGTGTTATGATCGTTTTCTTTAAGAAAATTTCTTAACGCCAAAATTAAACGTTTATTTATTAGTATTGTTAAACGTTATAATCTGCGACATTTTAAAGTTGATTGTACGGTAAAAATATATGTAAAATAAAATGGAGTTACGGGTTAAAAAAACGTTTAATTAACGTATGAGTGTTTACACCATGGTGTGTTATCCTTGATAATTAAATTTAAAAAGCAGAAACGCAGTTACGTAAAATTCGACCTTAAAAGAGTATTAGCTTCTTAAAATCACTTGTCGAGGATAGTACCACTTTTATTCTGATGTATATTAATATATAAAAAACTACCTAATAGCGCTACAAAATAAAATAATATATTTTTTGTTTAAAAAAAAATTATTTTTATTTTTCACTACTTACTTCTTGTAAAGAAAAATCGCAAGTCAGTGTTATTTATAAAATTTATTAGATCAGATTATTAAGATATTAATTTAAGTTTAATTAAGATAAAAAATATTAATATAATTACTTTATATTATTTTATCTTAAGTACGAGTCCAAATTTTATACTGTATAAATAGAGAATTCGAAAAGTATGTGGCACTTTAATATCGTGCTTTACCAAAAATTGTAAGTAATATAATACCTAATAATTTTCAAAACTTAAACTTTTATTAATATTACAGAACTATGAAAATTATAATTCTTCTCGCTTGCCTGGCAGTAGCTGTATCTGCTAATACCCAAGAGCAATGGAAAAGTTTTAAAGTAAGGGCACCAAGTTTTATTGAATTTATTTATTAACTATCAAATTATATTGTTATAGCAAACCCATCAGAAATCCTACCGTTCCCTCATTGAAGAACGTCTTCGTTACCAAATTTTCTCCGACAATTTGGAGAAAATCCATCAACACAATGCTGAGTTCGAACAAGGATTGAAAACCTACAGCCAAAGAGTCAACCAGTTCGCTGACTGGACCGAAGACGAATTCATCGCTTTCTTAAAACTCAACGGACCAGCTCAAAAGGTTAAATCTGATGAAGTTTTTGAAGCCATTGAAGCTGCTCCACCAACAAAAGACTGGATATCATTAGGTGCCGTAACTCGTATCAAGGATCAAGGAAGCTGTGCATCAAGCTGGAGTTTCAGTGCTGTAAGTTAAAATATTTTAACGTGTCTTGACTGTTTGAAGAATATTGCTTTGTATTCATATACTTTTCACAGGTTGGTGCTTTGGAAAGCCAAATCATAATCCAAACCGGCAACTCGTTTTTGTTGTCTGAACAACAATTGATAGATTGCTCTGGTTCCTATGGAAACAAGGGTTGTGATGGAGGTTCGATGACTTCCGCCTTTGAATACGTCAAAGATCACGGTATCATGGCCGAAGCCACCTACCCATACGAAGAAGTTCAGGGGGAGTGCAGATTCACCAACGAAAGCCGTGTCATACTCAAGTCCTCCGGGTATGTCGACATCAAAAAAGATTCGGAATACGAATTGATCCAGGCTCTTGGAACTGTTGGTCCAATCTCTGTTGCGGTCCATGCCTCACCGAGTCTTCAATTCTACGGATACGGTATTTTCAATGAGGTTCAATGCCCTCACCATGATTTGAACCTCGGTCTTTTGGCCATCGGTTATGAAAAGGATCACATCGTTCTCAAGAACTCCTGGGGAATATATTGGGGTGAAGGTGGATACGTAAAGTTCCAACGTAACAAAAACTTGTGCGGCATTGCCTCCATGGCAAGCTACCCAAAATTATAAATCTTTAATATTATTTAAAAAATATGACGACTGTTAAAAAAATATATAATTGAAAGTAAACATTGTTTTTTTTTATGTAAAGACCAAAGTCTTATTTAAAAATTGTTGCCATCGCTTGTTAAAAAGTTTTAAGTGGAATTTTAGAAATAGGTGAAACTATAAACTTAGATCATTAATATACAGTGATATTAAGATGATTATTTTTTATTTTTGGTTGTTTCACTGTTAGTCTGGAATGGGATTTTTGGGAAGCCACCAGGTCTAGTAATAACATAACATAAGTGATTCGGCACTAATGCAAGAATTTTAAGAAATTATACATTTTGAATATTAGAGCTTCACAGAAGATAGCTTCACGGAGGTTTGGATTTCGTATGTTTTTTTTAAACATCCCTTTGTATATTTGAAATAAGTTATTGTATCTTTTGACACCTTAATTTAAAAAAAATACAATTGTACATGCATAAAATTTTTATAAAAAAATCTACTTACTGAGATATTACACTTCACGGTAGATAGGTTTTAAAATAGCAAATTAATGACCTTAAACTTAAACCCGTATAAATGGTTATAAAAATTAATTCTTTTAATTTTTAATAATATTTTATATTTGATTCGATTTCTTTGGATGTCTTTAATTTACTTAGTGAACTGATATTTTTGGTATGATTTTACTACCCAGATATTTAAAAACATATAGGTAAACCTAGAAAGAGTAGCAGTCACGGAGGATAGGTTTTAGACTTTTAAAAAATTGTAAAAAATAATTAATTGCGATTAAAAAGCTGTAATATCTACTTAAGTAAATTAATTAATTAATTAATTATGAAAGATCAAAACACAATAAAAGTGTAGGTAAAACTTATTTAGTTTTATTAAATATCACGGGGTAACACCATAAAGTTTTATATTGATTTTTTTTTTAAGAAAAAGGTAGTAAATTATGAATATGATGCTTTTTTTAGAGGTATTTAAATTAAAAATAGTCGAATTAAACTTTAAATTTTAGTATATGTATTTTTATAAATAATAAAAACTTAAAATTTCTTATAATCGATAAAAATCTACCTGTGGTGTCAAGAACCTTTTGCAAAAACATATCTTCGCCTTAAATTGCTTTATATGTAAGTATTAGTTTGAAGGTCTTAGACATAGACTAGGGATTGGTAGTACAAAATGTTGCAATAGTAGAATATGGAAGAACTAGGCTTTATGTCAATTTATTGCCCATTTTTAAGTTTAAAATATGTTTTTTACTATAGTAGTGTTCTAGATAAATCTACTATAGTAAAAAACATATTTTAAACTTAAAAATGGGCAATAAATTGACATAAAGCCTAGTTCTTCCATATTCTACTATTGCAACATTTTGTACTACCAATGCCTAGTCTAGGTCTAAGACCTTGAAACTAAAACTTACATACAACGGATCCAAAACATCTGTGTCAGATTTATCTATAACACTACCTAACAAATATTAACTTTTGTTTTGTGTATTATGTATTTTTATTTTTTTGGATTATTCGTGCCAAATATTCATTTTAACTTAATAAAAAAATTTTAGTAATAAGATTCTAGAATAAAAATTGCAGAAAACTTAAGCTTCAAAATGGGTGGTAGAACGACATTTTCTTTTAAATTGGCCACATCCATCTCGAATGAGATTCCACAAATAATCACCCATCATTCTTTCATTCCATCTACCTTGATAACGCCTTTCCATTGCTATAATTTCTTGATGGAATCTTTCTCCATGTTCCTTGCTCACGTCTCCAAGGTTTTCACCAAAAAAATTTAGATGGGAATGGAAGAAATGCATTTTGATTGACATGCGACATCTCATATTTTTTAAAGCTGTCAATAAATCTTCAACAACTTTCTCATAGTTGTCGCTTTTGTTATTTCCCAGAAAACACTTTTTCTTCTTTAAAAACTATTTTTTCTTAAATCGGTCCCTTTTTAAATCTATAGCGAATTGTAATCAAAATAAAATTTATTTCTCGGTAAAAAAACAATGTGCACATTAAAAACTTAAAAAAACAACTTACATATAATTTAGAGGCACCTTTTGTTTTGAGCCAAAACCTATTTGAAAAGTTAATATGAAAGTTTGTACTGGCCTTTTGATTGTGCCGGCAGTAAACTAGATTTAACTAAAAGGGGGGTTCCTAAAACATTCTCTTCACTTCCACTGTGAAAAACTGCTTCTTCTGATGTAAACGGTTGTTAGTCCATTTTCAAGGGATAAATTATAATTATGGAACGCTTGAAATAAACCATTTTTTTAGGTTAATTAGTAGTGGCTTTTACTTTGTAATTAAATTTTAAAATGAGCAAATAATATGTGTTATTTAAAAAAATATATATTATTATGATAATAATTTAAGAATAAATAAGGTAGTATTGGCAGTACATACGTGTTTTTGATAAGAGATTTTTTCGTCTGTCTTCTTTTTAATGTATCAAAATATATTTATTTACAATATTTTATCTTTGGTATTAGTCACAGTTTTATATAAAAGGGATACACAAAGTAAGTAAGTTATATATGTGTGCCTTCCATTCTGTAAGTAAAATAATATTAAAATTAATTTATATTAACTAAATAATTATAAATATTACAGAACTATGAAAATTATAATTCTTTTCGCTTGCTTGGCAGTAGCTGTTTCTGCTAATACCCAAGAGCAATGGAAAAATTTTAAAGTAAGGGCACTAAGTTTTATTTAATTATTTATTAACTTAAAAATTATATTGTTATAGCAAACTCATCAGAAATCCTACCGTTCCCTCATTGAAGAACGTCTTCGTTACCAAATTTTCTCCGACAATTTGGAGAAAATCGAACAACACAATGCTGAGTTCGAACAAGGATTGATCACCTACAAGCAAGGAGTCAACCAGTTTGCTGACTGGACCGAAGAAGAATTCATCGCTTTCTTAAAACTCAACGGACCAGCTCAAAAAGCTAAATCTGATGAAGTTTTTGAAGCCATCAAATCGGCTCCATTAAAACAAGACTGGAGGTTATCAGGAGCCGTAACTCCTGTCAAGGACCAAGGAAGCTGTGGATCATGCTGGAGTTTCAGTGCTGTAAGTTGCATGTATAAATTTCTTGTCTGCTTGAAAAATATTTTAAACAAAATTGTTTCTTTTAATAGACTGGAGCTTTGGAAGGTCAAAACAAAATCAAAAACGGCAAATTGGTCTCTTTGTCTGAGCAAAATTTGATCGATTGCTCTGGTTCCTATGGAAACATGGGTTGTAATGGGGGTTTGATGGACCCCGCTTTTGAATACGTCCAAGATCACGGTATCATGGCCGAAGCCGCCTACCCATACGAAAAAGTCCAGAGGAAATGCAGATTCAACAAAAGCAAAGTCGTAGTCAAGTCCTCCGGGTATGTTGACATTAAAAGAAATTCCGAAACCGACTTGATCAATGCTATTGGAACTGTTGGTCCAGTCTCTGTTGGCATCGATGCCACCTCAAAACTTCAATTCTACTCATCTGGCATTTTTAATGACAACACTTGCTCTAAATATGCTTTGAACCACGGTGTATTGGCTGTCGGTTATGGATCTGATAACATCGTTGTCAAGAACTCCTGGGGATCATCTTGGGGTGAAAATGGGTACGTAAGGTTCACACGTGGCAAGAACTTGTGCGGTATTGCTGCCATGGCAAGCTACCCAAAATTATAAATATTTGATATGATTTTAAAAATATGACGACTGTTTTTTATACTTGCAATTTATTAATTATTAATAAAATATTTTATAATTTTTTTACTGTAATACAATATTTTAAAATGAATTTATTTTTTATTTTTCACTACTTACTTCTTGTGAAGAAAAATTGCAAGTCAGTGTTATTTATAAAATTTGTTTACAAAGTATATGTTTTATTGATTTAATTATTAGGATTAAGATTAATGTAAGTATAAATTAGATAACAAATATCTGCGCCTGTTTTGTATTGCATTGATTAATATAATTAATAATATTTAATCTTAAGTATCAGCCCAAGTTTTATATAAAAATAATATTTTACTGGTATGCTGATTAAAGTAGCCAACCTATAAAATCCAAATTTTGGGTGGGGTTAAGTACCTCTTTACAGCACCGAAAGCGGTGTTACAATGAAGTCTTTATGAACGCAAAATAGATCAAATATGTTTAAAGCCCGGTCTACAACTGTCGCAGAACGTATCTTTTACGGCTTACGTCTTACGTCAACCAATAAAATTGCTTAAAATGGACATAGCACTGTGATTGGTGGATGAAAGAGGTAAGCCGTAAAAGATACATTCTGCAACAATTGTAGAGGCTTAACATGTCCACACTTAAATTTATATCTTATATAATTTATACTTGGGTGAATCTCACGAAATGTCCCCGATGGTGTTACCCAGTGATATTTAATAAAACTAAATGAGTTTGACCTACACTTTTATTGTGTTTTTATTTTTCATAATTAAGTAGATATTACAGCTCAAGTTCCAGATTTTTTACCGCAATTAATTATTTTTTACAATGTTTTAAAAGTCTTAAACCTATCCTCCGTGACTTACGTTACTCGTTACTCTTTTTAGGTTAACCTATATGTTTTCAAATATCTGAGGTAGAAAAGCATACTAAAAATATCAGTTCACTAAGTAAATTAAACACATCCAAAGCAATCGAATCAAATATAAAATATTATTAAAAATTTAAAGAAATCATATTTATAACCATTTATGTAGGTGTTACAAAAATTGATTCTATCCTCCGTGAATCTCTTTTTGATTTAAATTTTATGCAACGAATGGCGCTTTAATCATTTTAAATAAGCAAAAACCTCTCTTTACGACATTATAGATGCATGTGATTCCTGAAGGTCAGTTAGAATTTATATGCAGTTGAGAGTGTTGCTGTTTTATAATTCAAAAGTTTAAGTTCATTAATTACCGTGAAGTGAAATATCTCAGTAAGTAGATTTTTTATATATATTTTATGTATGTGCAATTGTATTTTTTAAAAATATTAAGGTGTTAAAAGATATAATAACTCATTTCAAATATACAAAGGGAAAAAACATACGAAATCCTAACCTCCGTGAATCTCTAATATTTAAAATGTATGATTTCTTAAAATTCTTGCATCAGTTCAGAACCACTTATGTTATGTTATTACTAGACCTGGTGGCTTCCCAAAAACCCCATTCTAGACTAACAGTAAAACAACCAAAAATAAAAAATAACCACTAGCATATTCATAAATCCCACATTTACTATTTTTTTCTTAAAAAAAGTCAAGACTTTATATGGATATTATTGATTTAGGTTTAAACAAACAAATTTTTAATGAATTCTTATCAAATTTTAGTGGTATTACAGGAAAATGTTTAATCACTAAGCTGTAAAACCCCACTTAAAAATTTTTACCATGGGATGTCAAAAAATGATAAATAAAACTTTGGTCTTTACATAAAAAAACATTGTTTACTTTCAATTATATTTTTTATTTATATAAACAGTCGTCATATTTTTAAAATCATATCAAATATTTATAATTTTGGGTAGGTTGCCATGGCAGCAATACCACACAAGTTCTTGCCACGTGTGAACCTTACGTACCCATTTTCACCCCAAGATGAGCCCCAGGAGTTCTTGACAACGATGTTATCAGACCCGTAACCGACAGCCAATACACCGTGGTTCAAAGCATATTTAGAGCAAGTTTTGTCAGTGAAAAGGCCAGATGAGTAGAATTGAAGTTTTGAGGTGGCATCGATGGCAACAGAGACTGGACCAACAGTTCCAATAGCATTGATCAAGTCGGTTTCGGAATTTTCTTTAATGTCAACATACCCGGAGGACTTGAGTACGACTTTGCTTTTGTTGAATCTGCATTTCCTCTGGACTTCTTCGTATGGGTAGGCGGCTTCGGCCATGATACCGTGATCTTGAACGTATTCAAAGGCGGAGGTCATCAAACCCCCATTACAACCCTCGTTTCCATAGGAACCAGAGCAATCGATCAAATTTTGCTCAGACAAAGAGACCAATTTTCCGTTTTTGATTTGGTTTTGGCTTTCCAAAGCACCAGTCTATAAAAAATAAATTATAATTAAGCAATATTCCTCAAACAGACAAGACAAAATATATTAACTTACAGCACTGAAACTCCAGCATGACCCACAGCTTCCTTGGTCCTTGACAGGAGTTACGGCCCCTGATAATCTCCAGTCTTGTTTTAATGGAGCCGATTTGATGGCTTCAAAAACTTCATCAGATTTGGCTTTTTGAGCTGGTCCGTTGAGTTTTAAGAAAGCGATGAATTCTTCTTCGGTCCAGTCAGCAAACTGGTTGACTCCTTGCTTGTAGGTGATCAATCCTTGTTCGAACTCAGCATTGTGTTGTTCGATTTTCTCCAAATTGTCGGAGAAAATTTTGTAACGAAGACGTTCTTCAATGAGGGAGCGATAGGATTTCTGATGGGTTTGCTATAACAAAATAATTTTAAAGTTAATAAATAATTTTAATAAAACTTGGTGCCCTTACTTTAAAATTTTTCCATTGCTCCTGGGTATCAGCAGATACAGCTACAGCCAAGCAAGCGAGAAGAATAATAAGTTTCATGGTTCTGTAATAATTATAAAAAAATCAATTTTGAAAATTAATAGGTATTACATTACTTACAGTTTTTGGTAAAGCACAAATATTGAACTGGCTACCTACGTTTTGTGTACCCTTTTTATATAAAACTTGCACTGATACTTAAGATAAAATATTATTAATTAAATTATTAAATGCATTATTGCATTTTTATCTAATTTCTACTTAAATTTATATCTTAAAAATCTAATCAATAAAACATTTACTTTGTAAACAAATTTTATAAATAACACTGACTTGCGATTTTTTTTCACAAAAAGTAAGAAGTTAATATGTAAACTAAGGCGGTCTTAGTAAGGCTATTTTTAATTATGAAATTACCGACCATTACCTAATATACACTGTTTAAAATATCTGTGGTGTAAAGAGTAATCTTAAAATGGTGTCAAAATCCAACACCAAGTGGTAATAATATAAAAACCATGAATTATGGTTGAAAATGTGTATATGTGTATACACAGAAAAAAGGAATAGTTCATTTAACTATATTAATTTAGTTGACCCATAAGAATTTATCTAAATCAACTGTGGGATGGCTAATATAAACAAAGATTAGTTTGACGGTACTAAACCAGATAGTTATTTTATTTTTTTTAAATTGGTTAAATTAACCCAGAAAACTTTAGTGAAACCAACCCGCTGTATGGTTCAGTTTACTAAATATGTTGTTTGTAAAATAAGAGTTACTTCAACCAAAAGCACTCTGTTAAAACGATTAAAACAATTTGCCGTGCATTCCTGGTTGCATATTGTATACCGATCGCGGCAAATTCGGTGTGGATCACGTGATGTTCTTAAATCTCGCCTTTGTTGACTTACATGAAGAGTATATAAGCTCAGGTAGTCCTTTGCTTTGGTGTGGCACTACAAGTTGTTCGTTAGTAAAGAGACCTTAAATAAGTGGAAACAGCTATTAATACCCAGTAAACACACATACGTTAATTAAACATTTTTTTAAATCGTAACACCATTTTGCCTCATTTATAAAGTTTATCTATACGTTATATTTAAATTCATATTAATGTCCTTTCTAACGTTAGTTCTATAATAAATAAAACTCCACAAATGCTTGTTTTTACAACGTATTTATTAAACTTTTGTTTAACGTTAATTGCAACATGAATACAGGGTGTTTAAAGGTTGTAGACAATGATTTTTTTAAATGAAGGAAAGGTTTTGGAGGTATCTCCAGTCGTCTTCAGAAAACACTTTGTGATGGCGCGAAATGCTCTCCAAGCCTTTTTTATTTTCATCCAGTTTATTTGCAAAGTCTTCGGACAATAGCATTTTTTTTTGTGAGGTCCAGTAAAAATTCCTGCCTTTAGTTTTGCTAGACACAGAACTATCAATAAATAAACGCCATTGCTTAGTATCATGAACTATTCCAATTTCGTTGAAAAGTCCATCGACGTCCGCACAAAAGCAAATATCATTTTGGACAGAATAAAAACTGAAATAATTTTAATGAGGTTTATGATTTCAGCTTTTTCTTTTGTAAGGCCTAGACCTCTTAATCAAATCGTTTTTCGGCCTATGGTTATATGAAGTTTTCTTAACATTTCCAGTTCTAGGAACACTTATGTAAAGTTGTATTTATTTAAAAATATTTCCTTTTAAAAAAATATGTTTTTATTGTTGTACTCAAAAAGCTCTATCTTTTGAAAAAAAAACATTGTCATATGTAATTTCCATGGCCCATAAGACCTTTTGTCGCACTCGTCCATTACATACGTCCTAAATAGTTATGACATTAGTTCTTTAATATATTATTAAAGCCCGGTATACAACTGCCGCAGAATGTATCTTTTACTTACGTCAACCAATAAAAGTGCTTAAAATGGACATAGCACTGTGATTGGTTGATTAAAGGGGTAAGCCGTAAAAGATACATTCTGCGACAATTGGAGACATGTCCACACTTAAATTGACTTAAAAAAGTCAATGTTGAAAGGCTTTATATGGATATTATTGATTTAGGTTTAAACAAATTTTTAATCATTTCTTATCAAATTTTAGTGGTTTTACAAGAAAATGTTTAATTACTAAGCTGTAAAACCCCATTAAAACATTTTACTAAGCGTTATCAAAAATTGTTAAATAAAACTTTGGTCTTTACATAAAAAATCATTGTTTAATTTCAATTATATTTTTTATTTACATAAACAGTAGTCATATTTTTAAAATCATATCAAATATTTATAATTTTGGGTAGGTTGCCATGGCAGCAATACCGCACAAGTTCTTGCCACGTGTGAACCTTACGTACCCATTTTCACCCCAAGATGAGCCCCAGGAGTTCTTGACAACGATGTTATCAGACCCGTAACCGACAGCCAATACACCGTGGTTCAAAGCATTTTTAGAGCAAGTTTTGTCAGTGAAAAGGCCAGATGAGTAGAATTGAAGTTTTGAGGTGGCATCGATGGCAACAGAGACTGGACCAACAGTTCCAATAGCATTGATCAAGTCGGTTTCGGAATTTTCTTTAATGTCAACATACCCGGAGGACTTTAGTACGACTTTGCTTTTGTTGAATCTGCATTTCCTCTGGACTTCTTCGTATGGGTAGGCGGCTTCGGCCATGATACCGTGATCTTGAACGTATTCAAAGGCGGAGGTCATCAAACCCCCATTACAACCCTCGTTTCCATAGGAACCAGAGCAATCGATCAAATTTTGTTCAGACAAAGAGACCAATTTTCCGTTTTTGATTTGGTTTTGGCTTTCCAAAGCACCAGTCTATGAAAAATAAATTAATATCAAGCAATTTTTCTCAAACAGACAAGACAAAATATATTAACTTACAGCACTGAAACTCCAGCATGATCCACAGCTTCCTTGGTCCTTGACAGGAGTTACGGCCCCTGATAATCTCCAGTCTTGTTTTAATGGAGCCGATTTGATGGCTTCAAAAACTTCATCAGATTTGGCTTTTTGAGCTGGTCCGTTGAGTTTTAAGAAAGCGATGAATTCTTCTTCGGTCCAGTCAGCAAACTGGTTGACTCCTTGCTTGTAGGTGATCAATCCTTGTTCGAACTCAGCATTGTGTTGTTCGATTTTCTCCAAATTGTCGGAGAAAATTTTGTAACGAAGACGTTCTTCAATGAGGGAACGGTAGGATTTCTGATGGGTTTGCTATAACAAAATAATTTTAAAGTTAATAAATAATTTTAATAAAACTTGGTGCCCTTACTTTAAAACTTTTCCATTGCTCTTGGGTATTAGCAGATACAGCTACTGCCAAGCAAGCGAAAAGAATAATAATTTTCATGGTTCTGTAATATTTATAAAAAATTAAATTTTGAAAATTAATAGGTATAACATTACTTACAGTTTTTGGTAAAGCACAAATATTGAACTGGCTACCTACGTTTTATGTGCCCCTTTTATATAAAACTTGCACTGATACTTAAGATAAAATATTATTAATTAAATTATTAAATGCATTATTGCATTTTTATCTAATTTTTACCTAAACAAATTTTATAAATAACACTGACTTGCGATTTTTTTCACAAAAAGTAAGAAGTTAATATGTAGTAAAAAATAAAAATTAAGAACAACAACTATTTAGTTTAAACTAAGGCTATTTTTTAATTATGAAATTACCGACCATTACCTACTATACACTGTTTAAAATATCTGTGGTGTAAAGAGTAATTTTAAAATGGTGTCAAAATCCAACACAAAATGGTGTTAATATAAACAACATGAATTATGGTTGAAAATGTTATATACAGCAAACACCAAAACGGTGTTTATCTAAAAATATTTGAGAAGTGCACCTACACAGAAAAAAGGAATCAACTATGGGAAGGTTAACATAAACAAATATTAGTTTGACGGTACTAAACCTGATAATTATTTTTTTTATGGTTCAGTTTACTAAATATGTTGTTTGTAAAATAACAGTTACTTCAACCTAAAGCACTCTGTTAAAACGATTAAAACAATTTGCCGTGCATTCCTGGTTGCATAGTGTGTACCGATCGCGGCATAGGCGGTGTGGATCACGTGATGTTCTTAAATCTCGCCTCTGTTGACTTACATGAAGAGTATATAAGCTCAGGTAGTCCTTTGCTTTGGTGTGACACTACAAGTTGTTCGATACTAAAGAGACCTTAAATAGGTGGAAACAGCTGTCAATACTTGAAGTATTTTAAGTTGGTGGAACGCACTAAAACATCATCTCTAGCGAGTTGAAGGTTCAATTTTCTGGAATAATACAACTGGTAATGTACTAGTAATGCGTCAAGGACCTTCATGTTTCTTTTTTTTTCCTTTTTTTCTGTGTAGTATGATTTAATTTGACCAAAAACACATAATATTTAACACTGAAAAGGAGTTCAATTTACACCAGGTAAAATTTATTTTAATACTGTGTGGAAGTTAAATTTACACTATTTTAGTATTTCAATTTACACTGGACCAACGAACCATATTTAACACCATTTTGGTGTGTATCGATATAGACCATGTATGGTGTTAATTTGGTGTTAAGGTCATAAAATTTTGAACAGTGTAGGTTATGCATGCAATACCTAAAATGCTAAAATAATTGAAATGATCATCCTTTAAAAAAAAATAGTGAGTGCGGAAATCGTGCAGCAGATTTATTCAAAAAACAAAATTCCGATAGGAATGTGAATAGAAAATTCGTTGTGGAATTCCCAAATAACATGATTACTAGCGAACATATTTTAAATACTTAATGTTTGCTGAAAGTTGATTTTGGCATTTTGAAATAAAAGATAAAATAAAAAACCGTATTTCTTATTTTTTTTGCAAGAATGCAAAAATAAAAAAAATTTAAACATTTTATTGCATGTTTTGCCACCTGCAAACTTTTTATCCATTTTTTTTTAATGGAAATTTAGATAAGATACATTAGAACTATTAATAATAAATAATCTTTGGATCTATAGATTTATATCTTTAATTGAAAATATTCCATGAATTATAGTTTTATCAATTCTAGAAAGGTCGTAAATTTTAATTTTGTATCCAATATACTGTGCCCCTCCAAACTGTAAGTAACACAATAATTTAATAACAAACAATAAAATAATTATTTATAAGTTTTACAGAATTATTTTTATTATCCTTGCTGTATTTGCTGATACCAAAAAACAAACGTCTCCACTAATTTGGAACAAATCGAACAACACAATGCCAAATTTGAACAAGGTTGGTCACCTACAAACCAACAAAACAAAGAAGACTGTCGCATTCTTGAAACTTAATGGACCATCCAAGAAAGTCAAATGGGCTGAAAGCCCACGAAATTGCTCCATTGATACATGACTGGAGATCAACTGGACCAAGGAAGCTGGAATTAAGTTAATATATTTTAATAGTAAAAGTAAAATACTGCGTATAACATTTGAAGTGTTTTTTGCACTTCGCCTTTAAAATTTTAAGTTTGAAATCGATTAGATTAAAAATATCTTTTGTATAAAAAGGATAAAATCGTAATAATCAGTCCATTGTATGTATTCGAAACTGTAAGTATTACATGCAAAATTTAAATATAATATTATACATATACAGGTATTAATCTATTTTAGAAAATCATGAAAATTTATATTCTTCTTGCTTGTTTGGCAGTAGCTGTATCTGCCAACACTCAAAATCAATGGAAACATTTTAAAGTAAGTATCCTAATACATTTAAAAAAATATATACCTACTTATCTATATTTACAAATATTCTAGCAAACCCACAAAAAATCCTACCGTTCTCTCATTGAAGAACGTCTTCGTTACCAAATTTTCTCCACGAATCTGGAAAAAATCGAACAGCACAATGTCAAATTCGAACAAGGATTGACAACCTACAAACTGGGAATCAACAAATTCGCTGACTGGACCGAAAAAGAATTCCTCGCTTTTTTAACTCCTAAACGACCAGCTAAGAGAAATCCAAGTGACAAAGTTTTTAAATCTAACGAAACTATTCCCTCTGAATTTGATTGGAGGACAAAGGGGGCTGTGCTTGATTATGTTAAAGATCAAGGCCAATGTGGGTCTTGCTGGTCTTTCAGTGTTGTAAGTAGTTAAATAATAATTTACATTGATTTTAAAAATATTCCATCATTTACTTTTAGACTGGAGCCTTGGAAAGTCACAACCAAATTAAAACTGGTAAATTAATTTCTTTGTCCGAACAAGATTTACTCGATTGCTCGGGTTCCTATGGAAATTATGGATGTGCAGGTGGATTCATGAGTTTTGGATTTTTTTATACTAGAGATAACGGTATCATGTCCACGGAAGACTATCCTTACGATGTGGTACAAAAGGAATGCAGACATAATAAAAGCAAAGTTGTTGTCCAAAACTCTAAAGGTAGATATATACTTTAAATGGTGAATATATTGAGATTTGAGTGAAAATGATTATTTTTTATTTTTGGTTGTTTCACTGTTAGTCTAGAATGGGGTTTTTGGGAAGCCACCAGGTCTAGTAATAACATAACATAAGTGATTCTGCACTAATTGAAGAGTTTTAAGAAATCATATCCCAAAGGGTCTAATTGACAAAAATAAAATTGTAAGTTATCAATGAAAAACAAATATTTTGCACATGTTAATGTTGAAATATTTTTTAAGTCATTCTGCATGACACAAACTATTTTTAAATGATAATATATTATTTAAACAACTTGGCACTTGGACCCTTTGGAAATACAATGCTTCAATTACTAAAAAAACAAAAATTAAGTCCTTGGGACGTACCCAGTTTATCCGCTATAATTTTCCTAAATACACTGTTTAAAATATCTGTGGTGTGAAGAGTAATCTTAAAATGGTGTCAAAATCCAACACCAAGTGGTGTTAATATAACACCATGAATTATGGTTGAAAATATTTTATACAGCAAACACCAAAACGGTGTTTAACTAAAAATATTTGAGAAGTGCACCTACACAGAAAAAAAGGAATAGTTCATTTAACTATATTAATTTAGTTGACCCATAAGTATTTATTTAAATCAACTGTGGGAAGGTTATTATAAACAAAGATTAGTTTGACGGTACTAAACCAGATAGTTATTTTTTTTTTTTAATTGGTTAAATTAACCCAGAAAACTTTAATGAAACCAACTCGTGTATGGTTCAGTTTACTAAATATGTTGTTTGTAAAATAAGAGTTACTTCAACCTAAAGCACTCTGTTAAAACGATTAAAACAATTTGCCGTGCATTCCTTGTTGCATAGTGTGTACCGATCGCGGCAAAGGCGGTGTGTATCACGTGATGTTCTTAAATCTCGCCTCTGTTGACTTACATGAAGAGTATATAAGCTCAGGTAGTCCTTTGCTTTGGTGTGACACTACAAATTGTTCGATACTAAAGAGACCTTAAATAGGTGGAAATTACTTGAAGTATTTTAAGTTGGTGGAACGCACAAAAAACATTATCTCTAGCGAGTTGAAGGTTCAATTTTCTGGAATAATACCACTGGTAATATACTTGTAATGCGTCAAGGAACATCCTGTTTCCTTTTTTTCTTTGTAGTATGATTTAATTTGACCAAAAACACATTATATTTAACACTCAATTTACACCAGGTAAAATTTATTTTAATAATGTGTGAAAGTTTAATTAACACCATTTTAGTATTTGAATTTACACCGGCCAACGAACCATATTTAACACCATTTTGGTTTGTATCGATATAGACCATGTATGGTGTTAATTTGGTGTTAAAATAGTCATGAAATTTTGAACAGTGTAAGTACCCAAAACTGCCGATATAGGTAGGTCTGGGACGTTCGGACCTATGTGGGACCCGAAATGGACGTCCTGGGTACATCTTGTGCCATATGGGTGTCTTATGGTTTAAAAAAACATTATTATTATTATTATTATTATTATTTTACAGGAGTTGTTTGGATCGATGCGAACTCTGAAGAAGACATGCGTAGAGCTGTAGGAACTGTTGGTCCAGTCTCGGTTGGTTTTCACTCCACTGCAAATATGCAACTCTACTCATCTGGAATTTTTACCGACAGCACTTGCAATAAAAACCGTCAGAACCACGAAATGGTTGTGATTGGTTACGGGACCGAGGCAGATACGGATTACTGGATTGTTAGGAATTCCTGGGGTGAATCCTGGGGTGAAAAAGGATACTTCCGTGTCATTGCTGGTAGAAATTTGTGCGGAATTGCTTCTACTAGTGTCTACCCCGCCCTGTAAACATATGTTGATAAATAAATAAAATGTTAAAATACCTAAGTCTTTTGAGCCTTTATTTTTTTCTTCTAAATAATACCAGTAATGCCTCAAGTAAGTTTCTTAAAGAAACTAAAAATATAAATGTTTACCTTACTGTTTACCCCGGTTGGCTAATTCCAGATTCCTTTAGGCCATATAGTATCTGTGATACAATTTGCCGTGCATTCTGGGTTGCATAGTATGTCTGTTTGCGGCAAAGGCTCAGGTAGACTTTTGTTTTGATTGTCTTCCACTGTTTTAGTTTTTAGGTTAGTTTTAACTTTTTTTAGGGAAAATTGGTGGCCCTAATACAGATTAATAATCGTTCTAAACGTTGTGTTTCTTACAGAGGCGCTTGTTAAGAACAACCGTTTACTCCTCTTTTGGTAAAAATAAACCCTATTCTATCAGGGCTGTCATTAAACTGTGAAATTACAATTTTAAGGTTAATTTACCATAACACAAATTTAAATTTGATAGTTTGATGACGTCCCTGATAGAATAAGGTTTAAAAGGGTTGTTCTTAGCACTTAAAGGCCTCATTTGAGGCTTACAAGTGCCTCTGTAAGAAACACAACAAAACGATGTTTAATCTGTATAAACATAAAAATGACCACCGTTAGATTTTGTGCAGTGTTGCAGTGATTTTTAGTATGCGCGAAACAAGATAAAACAGGATTTGTTGTGTGGATTGTGATTATTGGGTCATTTTCAAGAAACACCCGCTTTTCAGAAAAATGTGTTTAGCTAGCTTTATATGTCTCCACTGTGTTACCAATTTGAAATCCAAATATTAATTCAATAAAAAAAGTTGTTATTAAAATAATTTGAAATAAAATGTACTTTTGACTCCAATTTTTTTTTTTATTAAAAATTGAATGCCTTTTTTAAATATTTATGTTAGTTAAGTTACTTTTTAAAAGACACCATTCCGATTCTTCCGAAACAATACCATTAATAGTTTCTTTTAGTCACTGTATTAGTGAGTTAAACTCTAATTTATAAACAAGTATTACCAAGTGATAGTAAAATCATTTTAAGGATTTTTTTTAACAAAAACTAAAAAAAGTAACGAAATAGACATTGGTATCACAACGGACTGGGTACACAAAGGACTTAATCAAATAACGTAAAAAAGAAACTATATAGGGTGGTACGATTTTAGAGTAATGCATAAACAAAATCCCTTGTAGTGGTGCTCACTTGCAGAATAACAATTTAGATTTCTAAATTATAGACACCCTTTTTCTTTGACTATAGCTGGTGTCTTTTAGTACTTGTATATTGCGTGGAATTTTCCCTTGGATGTAACCTATATCATGAGTTGTAATCACAAATAATTTTAAATTGGTTTATCATAAACTACTTTTAATAAAAGCGTCGGTAAATATCCACTTTGTTGTCGAAAAAATCTATTGCGTTACCCTAAATTCCATTGCGTTACCATAAGGTAACGTAATGGACTCGGTAACGCAGTGGACAAAGTTTTGTGAAACCATATTTAAAAAATAATAATAAAACATAACAGTCATTAATTACTCTTAATGAGCTTTAGTTCCCTAAAATAACATGAAAAATAGTATTTTTTCTTACCTTATTTTTATTATTTTTTTGAGTAACTTAGCGGACAAACAATTATTATATTCGCGTTACCCGCACCTGTTTCAACCGATATCTTCTTCCTGATTGAATAAATAAATTCAGCTGGGTAATGTGTACGTCCGAACATCATTTGTTAATCACGTGAGTGCCAAAAAAGTTGCCATATATATGTTTTTTTTAATATTCAATCGGTAACGCGACGGACGTAACGCAACGGAAAAAATGTCTGGAATGGACATTAGTCAAATTTAAAAAAGTAGATTAAAATTAATTAATTTATATATAAATTGTTTATTTTATTAACTAAGGATGTTATGGATTGCTATAAAGCAACATAAAGTTCTGGTTATTCAATATTAAAAAAAAACATGTATGTAAGTTTTATAAAACGCTAATGGGACATGCGAAAATGTGTGTTTCACAAGTTTAAAAATTAAAAAAAAAATATTCTGAAATAACTAAACAAACATTTTCTGAAAGAGTTTACTAAGGGCTTGTTAGGCTTTCACTTGGTTTTAAATTAATAAGATCCGATAATTTTTAACAAAGTAATTTGAATTCCACGTCTATATTTATTTTTAATAAATAAGATTAGAACTATTGATATTAGAGAGTACCTTTAATTCAAAATATTCCATGAAGTATAATTTTATCAATTCTAGTTTAATAAAAAAAGGTTAAAAATTCATATATGTATAAGAGAAATTTTCGCATAACATTTTAAATGACTTTTGCACTTTGCCTTTAAAGTTTTAATTTTAAAACGATTAGATATTAAAAATATTAATTAATCTTTTATATAAAAAGGATAAAATCAAGACAATTATTCTAGTTAATTGTATACTTCAAACTGTAAGTAATAGGTATTAATCTACTTAAAAAAAAATCATGAAAATTTGTGTTCTTCTTGGTTGTTTGGCAGTAGCTGCATATGCTAATACTCAAGAACAATGGAAACATTTTAAAGTAAGTTTATTAATATACATATTTAAATCTGTATATACAAATATTAATTTTTATTCTAGCAAACCCATCAGAAATCCTACCGTTCCCTTATTGAAGAACGCCTTCGTTACCAAATTTTCTCCGCAAATCTGGAAAAAATCGAACAGCACAATGTCAAATTCGAACAAGGATTGACGACCTACAAGCAAGGAATCAACCAGTTCTCTGACTGGACCGAAAAAGAGTTCCTAGCTTTTTTAACTCTCAGCGTACCACCTGAAAAAATTCAAAGTGACAAATTTTTTGAATCTAACGAAACTATTCCCTCTGAAATCGATTGGAGAACAAAGGGGGCCGTGCTTAATTGGGTTAAAAATCAAGGCGCCTGTGGATCTTGCTGGGCTTTCAGTGTTGTGAGTAGTTAAACTATAATTTACGTTGATTTTATAAATTTCATCATTTATTTTTAGGCTGGAACTTTGGAAAGTCACAACCAAATTAAAAATGGGAAATTAATTTCTTTGTCCGAACAAAATTTGCTCGATTGCTCGACTTCCTATGGAAACGGTGGATGTGGAGGTGGGCACATGAGTTCTGCCTTTAATTATGTAACAGATCACGGTATCATGTCCTTGGAAGATTATCCTTACGATTGGGTGCAAAAGGAATGCAGATACAATCAAAGCAAAGTCGTCGTCAACTCCAAAGGTGCTTAATTACTTATATAACTGTACTTTTCCAAAAACCTAGATTCCATATTTCTTGCTTATAGGTTTTTGGGAAAAATATACAGTACCTCCTCCTGAAAAGTTTTTTTTTGCATACAACATTTTTCAGTATCAACGAAGATACGTTAAATTTTGACTGACAAATGTTATTGAGTATACACAGTAAAAAAAACCTTCACACTAGGCTTCACTAGAGAACACTAGTTATAAAGGGTGGGCCATGTTTATAAAGTTATAAAATAGCAATGAGAACAAGACAAACTGATTTTAATCAACGAATTTTGCTTTATTTGATACAATGTTTCTTCCGATTAAGTATGGAAAATGATTTTATTTAAGTGGCCACCTCAGCTGGCTCGGCAGTAGCCCATCCTGGAACACCAATTTTCGAGCACTTTGTCAAAAGTTTGTTGCTCTATTTAGGCAATTTGAGCTTGAATGTTTTGTTTTAAATGGTGAATAGGCTTTGTTACGGCGACGTGTGGATTTTCCGTGGCCCAAATCCTACAGTTTTGCTTGTTGACATAACCTCCGAAGTAAAAATGCGCCTTATCCGAAAAGATGATTTTTCTTGCAAAATTAGGGTCATCGTTCAACTGGTTTAAAGCCCACTCAGCAAAGCGAAAACGTTGTGGATGGTCAACTTGCTTTAACTCCTGAACAAGCTGGACTTTGTACGCAAACATACCGAGGTCTTTGTGCAGAAGCATCCTCAGAGTGGTACGGGAAAGGCCGAGTTGTTGTCATCTGCGCCGAGTTGATGTTGACGCGTTCATGCGTACATTTTCGGCCACAGCAGCGATTGCTTCAGGTGTACGTCTAGGACGAACATGCGAAACATGTTTTATATCCACCAGCAATCCATTTCTGCGCAATTTTTTGATCAAATTTGTAATACTTTGGTTTGACGGCGCCTCATTTCTTCCAAACGCAATTTTCTTGCCGTCTCTGCGATCACAGTCACATTCAAAGTAAGTTTTGAGTATTTCGAAACGTTGATCCAAATTTATTCGGTGCATATTTTGTAATCGGTTAAAACTAAACCACTGTCAATAATTCATGGCGTTTAAGTTGAAAGCTTCATTAATAGCACGTAGTTTAAAATTCAACTTATAGATGGCCCACCCTTTAGCTTGAGCAGGTCCACTTTATTAGTTCAAATTTTCACCTTAAATTTAGTGTGAATTTTAGTGTTTTTTATTGTTTTATTTTAATATAAACTACACTGTTCAAAAGTTTCACTATTTTATTTAAATATGACAATTGTTTCGCTACACAGTAGCATCTTCAGATCGTATACAAACTAATATTAGTTTGTATACGATCTGAAGATGCTAAATAAAATAGTGAAACTTTTGAACATTGTAGTTTATATTAAAATAAAACAATTTTAACATGGAGTTCCATCAAGTAAAAGTCAAAACAATTAATTAATTAGTGTTTTTTAACTCTAGAGATTGTACTCTTCTAGTGTAACACATTTAACACAGTTTGTGCGACTTCGTCAACTATAGTTGATTGAAAATTACTACACCAACCGTGTTCGGTAGCTTTCTAAAAGTGTTCCCTAATTTATTTGCATTTATTTCACTTTTAGTCTGAATGCTATTTCTAATAGTGCTGGAAATTTATTCTATCTAGGGTTTATCCTAACACTAATAGATTTAAAAATTATACAAAAATATTGTGTTACACTAACTTTTTCACTCTACCACAAGTACCACAGGGAAACAATCTTAGACCCTTATTGTTTCTATTATTTATTAATGACATATCTTAAAATGTATAGGCAATACATAATTGTCTTTTGGTTTGAAACATTATTTAATATTATCACTTTTACAGGAGTTGTTTTTATAAATCCGAACTCGGAAGAAGACTTGCTTAAAGCTGTAGGAACGGTTGGTCCGGTCTCCATTGGTTTTCACTCCACTGGAAATTTGCAAAGCTACTCGTCCGGAATTTTCACCGATAGCACTTGCACGAAAACCATTATGAACCACGGTCTAGTGGTGGTCGGTTACGGGACCGAGGGAGAAACGGATTACTGGATTGTTAGGAATTCCTGGAGTGGAGACTGGGGTGAAAAGGGATACTTCCGTGTCGTTCGTGGTAGTAATATGTGTGGAGTTGCTACTTCTGGTATCTACCCGTTACTTTAAATATGTTGTAACGTTGATAAATAAATAAATTGTTAACATACCTACGTATTTTAAGGCTTTATTTTTTATTATTTAATATTTATCATACACCATATACCTAAGTTTTAGTTATTACTAATAATAAAATAATAATAAAAAGTCAATATAAACATTGTCACATAACTTTCCCCTAGGTCACACAATATGTGATCCAGGAGACGTGTGATCCAGGGGAAAAATGTATGTTTTTAGAACATAACCTCTTTAATGTTTAAAAGATAAATATTTGTATTTTTGCCCATAAAACCATTACTAGGATACTTTCTTTTGAGAATCAAACAAGGTCCGAGAATGCACAGTTTTGCCACGCTGGTATAAAAAATACATAAAACGTGTTGTGGCTTCAAGATAGTTCAGAACACCATTTTTTACTAAAATCCGTTACCAAATACATTGCCGCAAGGGGGCAGCACCAAAAAATGAGCGCTCAATTCAAAAGGTCATTTATAAAAGCTGTGACCCAGGAGAAGTGACCTAGGGGACCAAAATTAAGGGACAAACTTTAGGGGTTATTTTAACCACTTGTATTTTTAAATATTATCACAAATGGGCTTTTTATGTAATATTTGAAAAATATTCTCAACTATATAAAAAATATACATGGCATACTACATTTTATCTTCAAGTATAATTTTATTTGTTAAACAATACATAAAACGTAAAATTATAATAAGTACTAAAAGAAGAAAGTGAGGTTGGATTAGATCTGATAGTAGTCGAATTTTTTGATTGGTCCAAACAGGTTTTGACAGACTAGGAGGTAAAAACTTTACCCGATTGGTCTGCATTATTTTTACTGTCTAGGAGTTTTTTTAATAAAGATACCATTTGTTTTTCTGTTCTAATTTTATCGATCATAAAATAGAAACAATAAAAGTTTATTTTTACTTTTCTGCATTAAACTTAATGATTTAATTTTTTTATTTAAAACACTCATGAAGGTATTAGGCAACCTTTTAATAAATTATAATAGATTTCTTTATTATAGTTTTAATAATAACAAAGTTTTTTTATCATTTATAAGTTTATAGTATTGCTATTAAATTTTAGATGGCAGTATTTTATTTAAAAACAAGTGGTTTTTTTTAAATGTTAATTTACTAGTTTAATTTAATACACAAAAATATTCTTTTAAGTGTACAATTTTTTTTTTAATAGACTTGACTTGAGTGTTAATAATATTAAAACACTTATAAGTCCATATAGAAAGTCTTCATAATAATGCCACCAATTTGCTTATTCAAATGACTTTGAAGCTCCAATAATAACAAAGTTATATATGGACACTAGGGTGCTTAAAAAAAATTAATTTTTTTTCGCCCTTATCCTCTCAAATGTTTCTACATATTTAATATAAAAAAATCCTCACCAAATATGGGCGTTCCAGCTCAACTCTACCTCTATATAAAAGTAACTTATGGCAATGATCATTGTAGTTTCTTATATAAAATGTAACGCTCTACAAAAAAGGTTTCCTATTATTTTTCTATAAATTGATTTCTTCCAAAGTTATTCGAGGTCAAAGTTTGATTAACATCAAATTTTCTGTTTTTTTTTAATTTTATGGTTCAATTAGCAGACGGGAGGTGAAAGGGGGCAAAACAAGGCAGCGGGGGGGCAAAATGGGGTACCCAAAAAATTTCGTAAAAATTTTTTTTTAGATTGTTTTTTTCGGTTTCTTAATTATTTGAAAATATATTGACTCGCAAGTTCACGCTTTTAATCGAAAAGAATTGTTCTGAGCCTGTAGAGCGAGAAAAAGGAAGGTACAAATTTGGAAAACTTTTCATATGCTCATTTTTTGGGCACTTCATTTTGCCCCCCCCCCCCGCTGCCTTGTTTTGCCCCCTTCTCCCGTCTGCTAATCAAACTTTGACCTCGAATAACTCTAGAAGAAATCAATTTATCGAAAAATAATAAAAGACCTTTTCTGTAAACCGTTACATTTTATATAAGAAACTACAATGGGTATTGCCATAAGTTACTTTGATACAGAGGTATAAAATTCCAAACAAAAAATTATTTTTGCCATGTTAATTAAATAGAAAACTAAAATAAAAACAGCGACCTCTTAGAGTTGAGCTGGAACGCCATTATTTGATGAGGATTTTTTTTTATATTAAACATTAAAGAGCAATGGGCAATGTATATAGTATAAAAAAACACTAGTCTAATAAATATTATAGTTATTATATCAACAAAATTTTCTAAAAATTATTGGCCTAATTTTTTAAGTAGGTACTGGTTTAGATTGGCAAAATAAATTATCACTTAAAACTAAATGGCATTTTTCCGGTTCTACCTAATCTTTTAGGTCACGAAGTCGACGTCTGAAGATTACTAAAAAAAATAGAGATTAAAATCTACAATACTTAAAATTTGTATTGTTTCTTATTGATTGATAACCCCAATTTTAATTACAATGTTGTTAATATTATGTAAATAAATATTGATTGATTTAAATTATATACCTAAGGAAGGCCGATTGAAATGAAAAACGCTTGGAATCGTAAATTTTAATTTTTTATTTCAAATCTTATAATTATAATTTTTTGTTTCCACCAAAAAAACTGAAAAAATAAACATTTTTGTTTAGGTCTCTAATTAGGCTTAAAATAATTTAAGTTTTAACAATTTATAATTTTTTAAATAAATCCAAAACACTTTATATATGTACATTTAAAAAAATATAAAAAATATGTTATTCGATTAAATTATAAGATAACATTATTTAAATTATTTTACAAGTATATTATTAAACATATCTGAAATAAACCATTTCATATTTATCTCAATGACCATGATAAAAATAAATTGAGGTGAACAAAGTAATCTACATACATCCTAGTAAAACAATGTAAGTTTTTTGAGTGATATGTATATGTTAAATAATCCTGCTTACATATTTCAGAAAAATGAAAATTTTACTGTTACTATTTTGTTTGGTTGGGACACTTCTAGCTAACCAAGAACTATGGCAAAAATTTAAGGTATTGGTACAGAAACATTATCATCATATAATATAGTTTTAAAATTTTTAGAAAAACCATAAAAAATCCTACAAATCTCTTGTCGAAGAACGTTTACGCTACGAAATTTTTACCAGCAACTTAAAAATAATTGAAAAACACAATACGAAATACGCACAAGGGTTGACCACGTTCAAAAAAGGAGTCAACAAATTTGCGGATTGGAGCGCGGATGAGTTTTTAGCGTTTCTAAAATTAAGTGGACCATCTAACAAGGACAAATCAGGTGAATTTTTTAAATCAAATGATACCCTCCCAACTGAAGTTGACTGGAGAAATAGAGGCGCTGTAACCGAAGTAAAAGATCAGGCCACCTGTGGATCTTGTTGGGCATTTAGTGCTGTAAGTATAATTGTACATTTTATATAGTAATTGGATACTTGGAACATAGTTATTGGACATGCAATTTTTATATAAACATAACAACTTTACATTAAATAACATAAATTGTTAAATATTTTTTAAAGATAAATTGCTGTTTTAGGTAATTTTTTTTATTTCGTTTTTCCTCATCCCTTTTCTGGATTCTGAAGGTTACCACTAATTCCTTGGTCTGACTTCTAAAATAGTTTGTTGCAAATATAATTAAGAGTGGTGTATCTAGTTTGTGAAGCATTTATAATGTTTAGGCCGGAACAGGATGATTTATATATATCTAATATTTTTTCAGGTGGTATGTTAAAAGTATTTTATTAATTTTGTTGCCATTACTTTTTTATGTTCTCTATCATGCATGCACTGTATTTAAATCACTGTTATTCTGCAAGATGTCCGGAGACGAAGAAATCACTATAAAAAATGAATTAGTCAAATATGTCATAGCGAAAAAGCAGCCACTAATAATTCTGGTCAACAGCAATTTGTATCCAGGACATTTAGCAGTCAATTCCTATGAAATATTATTCGCTGAATCCGAAAATGTTGTCAAAAGTTATAAACAGTTTTTGAAATATAATCAATTTTACATATAATATGGAATTGACTATATCTCAAAAATGCTTAACTTTTATAGTTTTTGACGGGTTTTTCTGATTTAGGGGACCATTTTACATAAGAATGGTCCGGGATACAAATAGAGTATGATATTGGACATTAGGGTGGAGTGAATTTTTTTTATTTATTAATTGATTTTTCCTATATTATTAATTGTTGACTAAAGGCGTAAAATGAATAAATATCGAAAAAATATTCCAATTTTTTAATATCTTGAGGTGGCGCATCAGTCTCGAAGTTTTGAAAATCCAAAAAAAAATTACTTCAATCAAAGTAATAAAAATAGCATTATTTATAAATAAAAAGTTTATTTTAGTAAAATTAACGTGAAACGTAAACATTTTTAATAGTAAATCATATGCTTTAAGTAACTTCAGGAATGTTTATTGGTAGAAATGAGATCTTCTTTTTCGCGAAAATACTGACATTTGGTATCAAAATTTGGTAATTATTTTCTGACTTCAATTCTTGTTCCGATCCACAAACCGAGACTGAAGATTCAGTATACTGGTTATAACCAGTTTTACACAGCGTTCCGCTGCTTGGGTGTGACACAGAAATTTTTGGAAGTATAGGAAATGGTCACCCGAAGAAATCATATCGGTAATTTCTGTCATCGTATTTCATAGTCATAGGTGGTTCAGTTACCTTTTCTGTCGCCCAGTGAATTAACTCGTAAAAATGTAATGCTTCAGTATTTAGTTGTGGAAGCTTTAATTTCCGTAATCTCGAACATTTTGATTCTTTTCTCGCCTTTAATATTTTCGGCAATGCTAGTTCTCTGATCGATAGATATATTGTAGGTAACATAGCAAGTAATAGGTTTTCGGGATAAATATTAGCTATAGCTAACAAAGATCCAGGAAAGCTAGCACATTCCCTATGGCTGACGTGGGCTAATAGGATTATTTGTTTATGTATGGGGACAGCAAATCCATCGGAAAACCTAAAAGAATTGGCTACTTTTATCATAAAAGTGTATGCCCCAACGTGGTTTTACATCAACATCAAGCCTACGTGCAAACATGGTCCTATTCACATATTTAATATGACTAAAAGAGCATTACACCTCCAGAAAAACTTGAAGGCCTTATAACTATAGTTATAAAGAATATTCAGCAAAATATTTATCCCGAAAACCTATTACTTGCTATGTTACCTACAATATATCTATCTATCAGAGAACTAGCATTGCCGAAAATATTAAAGGCGAGAAAAGAATGAAAATGTTCGAGATTACGGGAATTAAAGCTTCCACAACTAAATACTAAAGCATTACGTTTGTACCAGTTAATTCACTGGGCGACATAAAAGGTGACTGAACCACCTATGACTATGAAATACGATGACAGAAATTACCGATATGATTTCTTCGGGTGACCATTTCCTATACTTCCAAAAATTTCCGTGTCACACCCAAGCAGTGGAACGCTGTGTAAAACTGGTTATAACCAGTATACTGAATCTTCAGTCTCGGTTTGTGGATCGGAAGCAAGAGATGGTTTCATCAGAACAAGAATTAAAGTCAGAAAATAATTACCAAATTTTGATACCAAATGTCAGTATTTTCGCGAAAAAGAAGATCTCATTTCTACCAATAAACACTCCTGAAGTTACTTGAAGCTTATGATTTACTATTAAATATGTTTACGTTTCACGTTAATTTTACTAAAATAAACTTTTTATTTATAAATAATGCTATTTTTATTACTTTGATTGAAGTAATATTTTTTTAGAATTTTCAAAACTTCGAGACTGATGCGCCACCTCAAGATATTAAAAAATTGGAATATTTTTTCGATATTTATTCATGTTACGCCTTTAGTCAACAATTAATAATATAGGAAAAATCAATTAATAAATTTAAAAAAATTCACTCCACCCTACTGTACATAACCATGATACTCGCTGTAAACATGATTTAAGTGTCAATCTTAGCAGATTGGAAAGAACCCGCAATGGAACCAATTATTATGGTATTAAATTCTATAATTTCTTACCTTTAAGTGTTAGGGCAATGAATGTAGATTTATTTAAATCTTGCATAAAAAACTACCTCATTAACAAAGCTTTTTATAGTACTGATGTTGTAAATAACTGTGGTGATTTTTTTAACTAAATGTGTTTAAAAATTTTATTAGTATTCTCGTTTAACCCAATTGTAATTTATATCTATTTTAAATTTTGTATACCTACGTATCTTTGTACTTTTATATTTATATATTGTTTTGTTTGACCTGTGTAAAGATCTTGTATTTTTGGCATTAAATAAATTATTATTATTAATTTTACATAAGAATGGGCTAGTAAATGTCCGGGATACAAATAGAGTATAATATTGGACATAATATGTCCAATAATAAAAATTTAAATTTTTTACCAACCACTGTTTGTTTTCAAAATTAAAATTAAAACGCATTAAAGTGACAATGTTTAAACCATGAGGTACACATTTATACTACACACTGATCTGTACACTTTTTAGAAATATTTTTTATGGTAATTTAAACACAGCCCTGCTCTTAACAAAAAAACAAACATCTTACCACCAAAGTAAGGTGCGAACTTTTTTGTCCTATATTGGACCCAAAATAAGGTAGTACATCTAATGATTTGACTTTAAGGCAACTATTTATAGTTTTTACATTATTAATGTTAATTGTCCAATAACTATAAAGTGTCCGATAACTGTCTACTTTACTTTAATTGTTACTAAAAATGAGGTTTTCTTAGACTGGAAGTTTGGAGGGTCAACTCCAAATACAAAAAGGTAACCTGACATCTTTAAGCGAACAAAACTTAATAGACTGCTCGAAAAAGTACCATAATTCTGGATGCAATGGCGGATTAATGGAAAACGCGTTCAAATACATCAAAGACCATGGTATAATGAGTGAAGAATCCTACCCTTACTTTGGTTTCGATGGAGTCTGTATGTTCGATGACTTCAGAATAGCCGCGACCATTTCTGGATACGTTGCAATACAGGAAGGCAATGAAAACGACCTCAAGGCGGCTGTGGGTACAATTGGACCAATCTCTGCTTGTCTTTATGCTACTGAAGACTTTCAGTTATACGAATTGGGAATTTTTAATGACGAGCATTGCCCTTCTTATACCTTGAATCATGGGGTTTTGGTTGTTGGATATGGAAGTGAAAATGGGCTAGATTTTTGGATTGTTAAGAATTCTTGGGGGTCTTCGTGGGGGGAACATGGTTATATTAGGATGGTTCGTGGGAAAAATTTATGTGGTATAGCTACTGAAGCAAGCTATCCCACTTTGTAAAATATTATTTTGTAGAAATAAATGAATAAAAAAGCCAAATATAGTTTTATTTTCCTACACTAAACGAAAAAGGTACGTGATATCACGATATCATGATATCATGATATCACGATATCATGATATTAATAAAAAAGTACATCAAAAGTAAATTTTCTTATTCATTAAGTTACGATTGCTGTATTGATGAATAATGAGCATGGATCTATGACATTGGCAGTAATTAATACGATAAACAGATTTACATTAGCTCATGAATCCTGTACTTCAAATTAATAAACTATGAGCATGGATCTATGAACAGCGGTTGTTAATATAACAACCGTTGGACATAAGTTTTTTATTACTACGTTAAATCAATAAACAGAGAACATACTCTCTAAAAATGAATTGGTCAAAAATGACTAATTTAATAATTATTAGTGGCTGCTTTTTCACTTGTACCATGGTTAACCATGAAATACCATGGATTCCCAAAATTTATCAGCCAATTCTTATGGAAAATTGTCCCCTGAATACGAAAATGTCGTCAAAAGTTTTGAGATAAAGTCAATTTTCCATTTAATATGGAATTGACTATATCTCAAAAACTGCTCCACATTCATAATTTTTGACGGTATTTTCGGATTCAGGGAACAATTTTGCATACGAATTGGCTCTTAAATTTTGGAATACCATGGTATTTCATGGTTAACCATGGTACAAGTAAAAAAGCAGCCACTAATAACTATTAAATAAGTCCTTTTTGACTAATTCATTTTTAGAGAGTAGATATATGAAAGCATGTTATTATTATTATAAACGGTAGACCTTAGTTTATGATTATTTTTTATTGAACCAATAAACAAGAGATCTATGATCTCTGGTTATTAATACTACAAACAAAAAGGCATTAGTTTATGATTTACTTAAATTTACATAAAATCCAAGACGAACCCAATTAAAATTATTTGGCAAATTTACTTACCTTTTTATTTACATTTTGTTTTAGCAACATTTAAATAAGAAAAAAATATCTACAAATTACCAAGCAATCAACCACAAAAGAGGTTTCTTTAAAATAAAGACTTTTTGGTGTATACATTTTTTATTGCAAGAGAAATTTACAAATAATATAAACCTTTGGGCTCTCAAGAGGTATACAAAATGCTCTTTCTAAAAAAGTTCCAAAACATTAGGCTTTCCTGTAAAAAGTCAAGATTAAATATATAAATAATTTTAAAACATATATCGACCGCCTTAATTACATGAAATCCTAAATAGTTATATTTAAAATATTACTTACATTGTATATTTTAAAATTAAAAAAATATCCAAAAAAGTCAAAACTGTTTAAAATAACTTCACAAGCTCACACACCTCGGTTTGGTCCGTATATTAGTCACAAACCTTAAAAATCCAAAAAGGTCAAAAATGTTTAAAATAACTTCACAAGCTTACACACCTTGGCTTCGCCAATGTTCACTCCTTATATTTATCAAAATTTCACTAATAAAGCTTTAGGGTTAAACGCGGAACTAACCTTTTAAAGCTATAAGACCGACTGAAGATAAAAATGCATGTAAAAATTCGCCACCCAAAAGTGGTGCGATGACCAGAAGTCTACGACAGCGATTCGTAATAATAATGTTTATCTCCACGCGGTCTATAATTTAAACTTTATTGTTGTCAACATTTGATTAAGAAATCCCTTGTTATGGCCTAGGCCGATAAAAAATTTTATGAGGCAAGTAATTAGTTCGATTTTTTCTCGCTAGGGGTATTGTTGTGACAAATTAATCCTTTTCTAAGAAATTAACGTACTAAACTGGTTTAATTTATTTATAATAAGCACTAATTTGTTTGTTTTACTGTTAATGTTTAATATTTTTCATTAAATTATTGTAAAATTAAATATGAATAATAAAACAAAAAGTGAGGTTAGGCAACCAAGAAAACGCACGATTCTTTTTCTACGATCTTTAAGTTTTAATTTGCTTTAAGTTTTCAGTGAAATTAAATGTTAAACACAGCTTAAACATTCCAAACTACCTATTTTTTAAATAAAATCCAAACAAATTGAAATAAGATACCTACCTATTTATTAAACAATTAATTGAATTCAATGTAATGCCAAAAATCCATTTCTACTTAAATCATGTAGCTAGGTATTGTCAAACTATTACTGCTTCTAAAAGCAATAATAATTATTGTACATTTAATGTAATCTTTAGCTAATAAATAAATGAGATTCTAAAAAAGTGAGGTTAGGCCGCTTTGATGTTGAATTAAATTGACCTATATAAAATGTTGTATGCTCAAACCTTGAGCTTAGCACAAAAAGCCTTACTAATGACATAAATAACTATTATGTTGATTGATTCATCGTACGGCAGCATTAATTTTGTCGCGTTTTTAGAATTGAATGGTTAAGATTGTAATATCAATGTTTAGTAAACGTTGGGACAATGAAGACGGTTTATTATTATTTATGTTTGCTGTTCATGGATCAATGACAAAAAATTTATTGTTTAAAGATGTTCTTTCGTTTAATGATCGTCAATAGTTAATTCAATAAATTTTTACATTATATTGATGAAGGAAATAATTAGTTTTTGATGTTGTTAATGTTGGCTGGTTTATTGTTTCAATGTTCTTAGTTATTAATCTATGATCAAAAAGCATTGTTATAATCACCAATATATTGTATACATAATAATAATGTACTAAAATTTGACGACAGCAGTTTATTAATTTTACGTACAGTTTTTCTTTGTGTGTATACATAATTTTTTCCATATCATTGTATTAAATAACATAGATTAATTTATTTTAGCAAAGCAATTATATTAATAGTTTTATTGATAAATGGTACTTGAAAATCCAGACAAAAATGTTTTGTCATCCTTAAATTTTATCATTGTCATTATTTACGTATAAAACTAAAGTTTCTTATTTTTATTATTTATAAGATTTTATCCGACTTTAAAATCAAGTGATATTGCACCTTGCACTCTTGTCGGACTTTTTGAAACGTTTCAGGAGTAAAATGGCTCTTATTTTTAATGCAAAATATGTTATCCAAATAGAAAAAAATAGAAAATGGAAATTTTTAAACAACATAAATAACACAAGCCTTCAAAATTTAACCTTAACATTATATCGTTGAAATTCGAATTTTTAAAGGTTTTAAATAAACCCTTTAGGTCATCTAAAAGTACTGCATTACAAAATCCTCTAAAAGGTAAAAGTAAAGATCAAAACAATTAAAAAATACCTTGTGATGTATATTACCTCAAATATTAAAGAAAAAATGCGTTTTATGTTTTTGTGAATTTCTGGAAAACCTGATATCACATCATAATTCTATATTTTAAAATAACAAAAAATGGGATCTAAGATCATGCCATATTTTATGTTTATAATTATTTGTTTAAGATATAATCAATTTATTAATTTAGGCTAAACAAAAGAATTATAATTAATGACGTACTTATCTTAAGTGTTCTACGTGATCATTTGACAAAATTCATATAAATAGGAGAATAATTTCACATCAAAATATTGTTTTACCGAGCAAGTAAGTAAACCATAATATATTAATAAGGCCAAATATAATAAAATTCCTATATTTTCAGAATTATGAAAGTTTTTATTTTGATTGCCTGTTTGGCTGTGGCCGTATCAGCCAACAAAGCCCTGTGGGAGGATTTTAAAGTAAGTTTTTTAATAACGTAGTTAACTTATATTAACTATATTAAATTGCAGTCCAACCACAAAAAATCCTACAAATCCCTTATCGAAGAACGTCTTCGTCACCAAATTTTCCTCAACAACTTGGACCTAATCGAAAAACACAATGTCGAATACGAACAAGGCTTGACTTCTTTCAAAAAGGGAATCAATCAATTCGCTGACTGGACCAGGGAAGAATTTGGTGCTTTTTTGAAACTCAGTGGTTCCGCTGAAAGGCCAAAAACCACCGAAAAATTCCAGGCTGTGCAAGCTGCCCCTGATTCCATCGATTGGAGATCCACTGGGTCCGTAACTCCCGTTAAGGACCAGGGGCAATGTGGATCATGCTGGGCTTTCAGTACTGTAAGTGTTCTTTTTATTCATTTTTATTCTATACAATGTCAGTATGCAAAAATAATACAAACAAAATTGTTTTTATAGACTGGCAGTTTGGAAGGGCAACTCAAAATCCAACAAGGAAAATTGATCTCCCTAAGTGAACAAAACTTGGTCGACTGCGCCGGTTCCTACGGAAACGAAGGTTGCAATGGTGGTTTGATGACTGCCGGTTTTGAATACATCCAGGACCATGGTATCAACAGCGAAGCTGCCTACCCATACGAAGAAAGGGACAGGCGTTGCAGATTCAACGCTAGTGCAGTCATCACCAAAGTATCTGGATACGTAGAAATCATAGAAGATAGCGAAGAAGATCTTAAGAACGCTGTAGGAACCATCGGTCCAGTTTCCGTTGCTATCGATGCCTCCGACGAATTCCAATTTTACGAATCTGGATTGTTCACTGACCGTACATGTGACAAAGCCTACTTGAACCATGGTGTTTTGGCTGTCGGTTATGGAAGCGAAAACGGAAAGGACTTCTGGATCGTCAAGAACTCTTGGGGACCATCCTGGGGAGAAAGGGGATACATCCGTATGAACCGTGGAAAGAACATGTGTGGTGTTGCCTCCATGGCTTGCTACCCAAAATTGTAAATTTATAAAAAAATTTAATATAAACAAATAAATACATCACATTTTATAAAACATTTTAATTTATTTTAAACATTTAAATAATTTACAATACCAGGTACTTAATTAAAAGAAAAAATAGTTTTAATAACATTTATATGGTTTATCAACATAAATAATTTGATAAAAAATATAAAAATGGCACTATTTTGTTTTTAAATTAGGGTTAATGCGAGGGGTAAATCACTGATATTAAAATAAAAAACTGCATACCAATTAATGGATAAGGAAAAAAATCACAAGGATTTTTCCTTATTTATGATTGAAAAAGGAAAAATCAGAGCACAACGTTCATA